CACCTTGGGGTGCGACAGGGATGTCCTCTGGCTCCCACATTATTTAACATCTATTTTGACCACGTAGTTCGTGAAGCCTTCAATAGCTGTACCGGGGGAATCTCCAAATGGTACAGATATAATGGGAGGCTAATCGATGCCCGGGTGCGGTCAAGGGATGGCTCCCTATTGCTCAACCACGTTATGTATGCTGATGATTTGGTAATAGCTGCTCAGTCAGAGGAGGAGTTGGAGACGCTGCTGCTGAGACTGGAGCGTGCCACTAAGAGGTGGGGCCTTACCATCAGCCCCACCAAAACTAAGCACCTGCCTGGGTATTTTGTACCATCGGACACTCCACCCCCACAACTCCCAATCGGTGATGGGGCAGTTGTGGAGAGAGTGGAGAGTTTCCCATACCTGGGCAGTGTGCTTATGACTGGCTCCAGTTTAACAGCAGAGGTCTCACTCCGAATCAGTCGAGCGGCAATATCTTTTCATCGGTTGCGTAACGCTGTGTGGAAGCTACCTGGTCTGTCGCTCCGCACTAAGCTTCAGGTCTTCTCGGCCACGGTCATTCCCTCCCTTCTCTACGCTTGCGAAACGTGGACCCCCCTAATGGAACATCTTCGCGAGTTAGAAACATTTCGGCTGGCCTGCCTACGATCCATCCTGGGTTTAACCAGACTGGATTGTGTGAGGAGCTCACAAATCCTTGAAAGATCTGGGCAGGGTCCCATCGGTGAGCTCCTCTGGCAGCCAAGGCTGCGATGGCTGGGTCATGTAGCCCGCATGCCCAGCCACCGCATGCCGAAACAGCTTTTGTTTGGCCGGATTGAGGGGGCTAGGCGGGCGCGGCACGGGCTAGAGAAGAGATGGAGTGATGTGGTGCAGGAGGACGTGGAGCTGAGTGGACTTGCCGATGACTGGTACCAGCGGTGTCAAGATCGGCCTCTGTGGAGGATGCTCGTGAAGGATGCTACTGGGCAGTTGGAGGCAGTCGCCCTCCAACAACAACGGAGGACAGAGGAGTGACGCTCAGAACAACGAGCGGAGCGCCGGGTGGCTAAAGCACAGCAGGTTGGCACAGTAGGGGGCACTAGTGGTGCATCAGCCAGTCATCTCAGTCAGTCGACCCGTGGCACCTGGGTCTGCCCCGTGACCTCCAGCCAGCGGGCGTTCGACACTTCACGTGGCCTCAGGGTGCACATAGCCTGGCACAAGCGTCGTGGTGACGTCACCGCCACTTAGTGGCGAATGGCGGTTGTTGTTGTTGTTAGTAGTGCGTGTGTTTGTGTGTGTGTTAGTAGTGTGTGTGTTTGTGTGTGTGTTAGTAGTGTGTGTGTTTGTGTATGTGTTAGTAGTGTATGTGTATGGGTGTGTGTTAGTAGCGTGTGTGTTTGGGTGTGTGTTAGTAGTGTGTGTATTTGTGTGTGTGTTAGTAGTGTGTGTTTGTGTATGTGTTAGTAGTGTGTTTGTGTATGTGTTAGTATTGTGTGTGTTTTGGTGTGTGTTGTCGGGAGCGATAGTGTAGCAGTTAGCGCGCTGCGCTATGAACCTGGCGACCCGGGTTCGATTCCCGCTCACGGCCAACACCAGTGACGATTTTCTGAACCGGTCCCGGGCCTCCCCTAGGTCGACTCAGCCTCAAATGAGTACCTGGTGCGGTGTGTAAACATTGCCACTAGGGAGACAAAGGCGGTCGGGCGTGGTGCTGGCCACCCACCCCCTCGTGTACCGTTCCGTCCTTCATAGGTGCTCGCTAACAGCACTTGCCCCTACAGTCTGTTAAGGCTATATGGGGGATCTTTGATCTTTGTTAGTAGCTAGTGTGTGTATGTGTTAGTGGTGGGTGTGTTTGGGTGTGTGTTAGTAGTGTGTGTGTTTGGGTGTGTGTTAGTAGCGTCAAATATTGGAAGAAGTCACCCCCTGTGAGTGGCTGGCTGAGGTGCCATCTGTTGAGGAAGTACTGAAGGCGATCCGGAGTCTGAGACCAGGAAAGGCAGCGGGCAGAGATGATCTCCCAAGCGAAAAGCTTAGGGAGGGCGGCGTTTGTGCACAGACTGCCCTATATGACATCATAACAACAGTCTGGACCACTGGACGGGTTCCGCAGGATTGGAAGGTGGTCCCCCTTTTTAAGAAGGGGGACCGCACAGACTGTAACAACTACAGGGACATCTCACTCCTCAGTTTGCCGGGAAAGGTCCTGGCAAGGATTATTCAACATCGCCTTGCCCGGCATGCTGAGGAGAGGCTTGCGGAGCCCCAATGCGGTTTCACAGATGCCATATTTTCTGTCCGTCTGCTACAGCAGAGGTGTAGGGAATTCCAATAAGACCTACATCTCTGCTTTATTGACCTGGTCAAGGCCTATGATACCATCAGTAGGCCTGGGCTCTGGGTTGTTCTTCGTGCTTTTGGAGTACCTGACCCTCTGCTCACGATCATTAAGGACCTTCATGATGGTGAGCGGGCCCGGGTAAAACTACGTGGCCGGGAGTCAGAGCCATTCCCTGTACACCTTGGGGTGCGACAGGGATGTCCTCTGGCTCCCACATTATTTAACATCTATTTTGACCACGTAGTTCGTGAAGCCTTCAATAGCTGTACCGGGGGAATCTCCATATGGTACAGATATAATGGGAGGCTGATCGACGCCCGGGTGCGGTCAAGGGATGGCTCCCTATTGCTCAACCACGTTATGTATGCTGATGATTTGGTAATAGCTGCACATTCGGAGGAGGAGTTGGAGACGCTGCTGCTGAGACTGGAGCGTGCTACTAAGAGGTGGGGCCTTACCATCAGCCCCACCAAAACTAAGCACCTGCCTGGGTGTTTTGTACCGTCGGACACTCCGCCCCCACAGCTCCCAATCGGTGATGGGGCAGTTGTGGAGAGAGTGGGGAGTTTCCCATACCTGGGCAGTATGCTTATGACTGGCTCCAGTTTAACAGCAGAGGTCTCACTCCGAATCAGTCGAGCGGCAATATCTTTTCATCGGTTGCGTAATGCTGTGTGGAAGCTACCTGGTCTGTCGCTCCACACTAAGCTTCAGGTCTTCTCGGCCACGGTCATTCCCTCCCTTCTCTACGCTTGCGAAACGTGGGCCCCCCTAATGGAACATCTTCGCCGGTTAGAAACATTTCGGCTGGCCTCCCTACGATCCATCCTGGGTTTAACCAGACTGGATTGTGTGAGGAGCTCAAAAATCCTTGAAAGATCTGGGCAAGGTCCCATCGGTGAGCTCCTCCGGCGGGGAAGGCTGCGATGGCTGGGTCATGTAGCCCGCATGCCCAGCCACCGCATGCCGAAACAGCTTTTGTTTGGCCGGATTGAGGGGGCTAAGCGGGCGCGGCACGGGCTAGAGAAGAGATGGAGTGATGTGGTACAGGAGGACGTGGAGCTGAGTGGACTTGCCGATGACCGGTACCAGCGGTGTCAAGATCGGCCTCTGTGGAGGAGGCTCGTGAAGGATGCTACTGGGCAGTTGGAGGCAGTCGCCCTCCAACAACAACGGAGGGCGGAGGAGCGACGCTCACAACAACGAGCGGAGCGCCGGGTAGCTAAAGCACAGCAGGTTGGCACAGTAGGGGGCACAGGTGGTGCATCAGCCAGTCATCTCAGTCAGTCGACCCGTGGCACCTGGGTCTGCCCAGTGACCTCCTGCCAGCGGGCGTTCGACACTTCACGTGGCCTCACGGTGCACATAGCCTGGCACAAGCGTCGTGGTGACGTCACCGCCACTTAGTGGCGAATGGCGGTTGTTGTTGTTGTTGTTAGTAGTGTGTGTGTTTGTGTATGTGTTAGTAGTGTGTGTGTTTGGGTATGTGTTAGTAGCGTGTGTGTTTGGGTATGTGTTAGTAGTGTGTGTGTTTGTGCATGTGTTAGTAGTGTGTGTGTTTGGGTGTGTGTTAGTAGTGTGTGTGTTTGTGTATGTGTTAGTAGTGTGTGTGTTTGGGTGTGTGTTAGTTGTGGGGAGCGGTAATGTAGCGGTTAGCGCGCTGCGCTATGAACCTGGCGACACGGGTTCGATTCCCGCTCACGGCGAACACCAGTGACGATTATCTGAACCGGTCCCGGGCCTCCCCTAGGTCGACTCAGCCTCAAATGAGTACCTGGTGCAGTGTGTAAACGTTGCCACTAGGGAGACAAAGGCGGTCGGGCGTGGTGCTGGCCACCCACCCCCTTATGTACCGTTCCGGCCTTCATAGGTGCTCGCTAACAGCACTTGCCCCTACAGTCTGTTAAGGCTATACGGGGGATCTTTGTTAGTAGAGTGTTTGTTAGTAGTGGGTGTGTGTTAGTAGTAACACACACCCAAACACACACGCCTTTCCCGCCAAAAGTGGCGTCTCATGGCGTTGGATGACGTCGCCACGAAGACACCTTCCAATTATCCCATCATGTGATTAATTTATCTGAAGAAAAAATAGAATAATTGTCCTTAAATAACCACATTTTTTCTTTTAAAAAAACCCGAAACTAATCGCTTTTCTGCAACATCATCAACGCGATGTACCCAACCTCGTTCGTTTTTCACTCGGGGCGAACTTCATTACGAAGAAAAAAAAATCTAAAACGCAGTTCGGTCTCCGCTTTACAACGGTCCACATTTACCACGTTTGATACAATTCCACCAAGGATCGATTTACGACGCCGCAACTCGATTTACGACGCACCTTCCCGAACGCAATTCTAACAGAAGCCGGTGTGGTCTCCGGTGCGACTTGGCCTTGAGGCTTTTATGGTCTCCTCAGATGCTCGTGTGGATGTTGACCGGTCGAACCCCGCACAGTAACGGCCGATAAAAGGAGGAACACATCGGCAAGTGGTGTTTCCGCCTTTTCCACTCTCCGCGCGCAAGCCGGATCCGTTTTCTTTTTTTTTACGACGGGGCTTTCCAGGAACGCACTGCTGCCTCGTAAAAAGCGGGGACCTGCCTGCAGAGTGAAAGTGTTTTGAGTTACCGTCTGACATTTCAGATCGCGGCTTGCGGTATTTGTCCTCTCGTCTTACAGGTGCAGACGCACGGTGTCCATGGAGACCGGCTGCCAGAACCTGCAGCTGTGCACCGCGGTCCTCAAACTGACCTTCGACCCGCAAGTGATCGGCCCGCTCTACCTCTTCCCTCTGCTCTACATCTTCTTCCAGGTGTGCGTGGTGGTGTTGATCTGGAAAGCCCCGTGGGCCGACGGGCCCGACAACAAAACACATGATATTCTTGGTTCTTTCGGTAAAGTCGCGTGGATAGAAAACAAAAATCGAAATTAAGAGCAAGAAACCCACGACGTTTCGATCGCAACACAAGCGGCCTTCTTCAGGTGGAGAGGGAAGAAAGGTCGTGAGTTTTTTTGCTTTTAATTTTTTATTTTTGTTTTCCATCCACGTGACTTTACCGAAAGAACCAAGAATATTAATTCCTGCAGTCACGAAAGTTTTAAGTAGGAAACCAAAAAAATGTTCTCCACTTAAACGTGGGGACACGGAACGTAGTTCTGCTCATATCTGGTCCTTTACCCAGAATGCTCTGCAACAACGCATCATCAGTTTGGCGTTGAATAGGGCTCCCCTGTAATTTACACAGAGTGCACTTGCCAAAAACATCTGGTAACTCAGCAGCATTCGGTTAAAACTAGAACTGCCTTTTGTGTTCAGCTTGTTGTCCTTCCCCCGCACCTCCGATGAGCACGGTTGGCAACGTACGGTGCGAAAGCGTACATGCAAGTTCAGCGTACATGCAGACGGTCAAAACCAGTGCAGATGATTTCTTGCTGAAATAATGCTGCTGGATAATATTGGCCTTGAGAGCCAATATTGATTAGTGGATTACTCATAACGGGGCCCTGCTTCTATTTGCTTTCATCATTTGCAACACCGTTGGTTCGTGGCTTTGTGCGGACGCTTGCAGGTGGTGACGGCGCTACTCTTTGTGCTGGTCTACCGCTTCTACGTCCACTGCTACCACAAGCAGAGACAGCCCCAGACCGGTACGTCTGCCCCGAGGGCACTACCAACCTGTGCGGCCACGAAACAGCGAAACAGCAAAACAGGCATGGGGAGGGAGTGGGGGGGGAGTTGCAATGATGGACAAATTAAATATCAACAAAAGGTCAAAATCCTGACTTGGTGAAACACCCGGGGTGGGACTAGGCTGAGGTTTAGCAGTCGTGCTTTAGGGCTGATAGGATACCATTTGGGTTAGGGCTTCCGTCTCGATGCGTGTGGACTTTATATTTCACCAGGCGAGGCCCACTGAGCCATGCAGCTCTTTTTCAGAAGCGACCTGGCCACAAATGATCGCTCAACGAAGTGGCTTATCGCGTGGAAATTTATAACAGCCAAACGCGTGATGTTGATTCTAAATGTGGAGGGAAAAACCGGAGGACCCGGAGAAAAATTAACGCGACCACGGGCAGAGAGGACACGCAAACTCCAAAAATAAAGCAGGCGTCAGGGTCGGGATCAAACTCACGACCTCCTGTATACCAGGCGAGGTAGTTAACATCTCCTAGCCACCGTGATGATGATGATGATGAGAGAGACACGCAAACTCCAAATATAAAGCAGGCGTCAGGGTCGGGATCAAACTCACGACCTTCTGTATACCAGGCGAGGTAGTTAACATCTCCTAGCCACCGTGGCGCCCTGGCCAAGTCTGTTGGATGGAACATTTAAAAATAAACCGAACCCTTCCCAGACAGTGTCCACTGGAACTCGGCCGCTATCCGGGTACGACTGCTCTTGCTTAAGTCGCCATCCTCCCTCCACCCGGTCTCCGTAATAAAACACGAAGGGCGAACGACGAATCATGCGATGCGAATGCAACACGACGGCAAACGCGTTAACCGAATGAGCATTCGTGAGCGGTTGGTTCAGAGTCGCAATGCGTGAGCGTCACAGCTGCACTCACTGGCAGCGGTCACCACAGTCGTGTGGTGCGGCACCCGCACCGAACGCGTTGTGTCGCCTTCGTGGCCTGTGGAGTCCGGGTGGAGGAGGAGGGTGACTGGAGTGAGCAAGAGCACCCCACCCCCGGGCTCCCTCCCTCCCCCTCCCCTCCCTCCCACCTCCTCCCCTCTCCCTCCCCTCCTCCCCTCCCTCCCTTCCCCTGTCCCTTTCCCTCTCCCTCCCTCCCCTCCCTCCCTCCCCCCTCCCCTCCCTCCCCTCTCTCCCCTCCTTCCCTCCCCCCCTCCCCTCCCTCCCACCTCCTGCCCTCTCCCTCCCCTCCTCCCCTCCCTCCCTTCCTCTGTCCCTTTCCCTCCCCCCCTCCCTCCCCTCCCTCCCCTTACCACCTCCCCTCCCTCCCCTGTCCCTTTCCCTCCCCTCCCTCCTCCCCTCCCTCCCCCCTCCGTCCCCTCCTCCCTCCCCTCCCTCCCTCGCCTGTCCCTTTCCCTCCCCCCCAGTATGCGAGTTATCTTCACCTTCACCTTTCCCAGTGGCTTAACCAGTGTGGGGCCAGAGGGAGCCTTGCCACCCACCCCTCCTGCTGACCAAACCTACGAGTCGGGGCCCCCCCCCTCCCCCCGCCTTGACAACCGCCACGAGATGACACGTGTTCAACAAGAGAACAACAACACTGATCCACCCATGTGATTCAGGCAAGAGGAGTCGTCCATACATAGCAGCCTAGATGGAGATCGTGCGAAACAAATCAAACCGATAGATCGCACCCCCCTGAGCTGCTAGCATCGTTACTACGCCACTGCCTTTCCCCCTCCTCCATATAAATCTTCATGCCCCCCCCCGCCCGCACCCCCTCAGTTGATTCCCACCTGGGTGGGCCAGTGAGCCCAATGTTCGTAAATCGAGCTGCTGGTCGCGGAGTTTATGCCCCCCCACCCCCCTACCGACTCCGATCGCACAAAAACGGAGTGGGTTACTCCGTTTTTTCGCGATGTTGTTGTTGTTGTTGTTAAAAAAGAGGTGAACAACAACTGGCAGAGAAGTATGACGCGCAGTCGCTGCGGTGCGAATGTCACAACGAAGGGCTGCGCAAAAACCTCCGGCCGCGAGAAGGACGAAGCGTCACGCCTGCGTGCTGTGTGTGTTTTTGTTGTTATTGTTGCTGCTCCTTACTCCAGAGAGCGTCAACGCGATTTACACGGGCAAGGCGGAGGTCGAGGACATGGACGTGGAGTCGACGGCCAGGGAGGGAGCGCCCGCCGGGCACAACTCTGAGACGGTGTCGTGGAAGAGGAAGCTGTCGTGGTGGAAAGTCAAGAAGCGGGAGGAAAGATGATGTGGGCGGGGAAGTAAAAAGAACCCAACGTAACCCAATGATAATGATGATGGATTTACAGACCAAACTAAACAATAACTCCACAACAGGAAAATTCCTCGGCCTGCCACGTAACATGTAAATGCGTTTGGCATTTGCGCGGTGGAATCTACAAACGTGGGGGGTGCGTGTTTGTTCACTAGTTTCAATAGTACATTTCATTCCACGCTATGGGATTGTGGCCAGTGCTTAACTTTATCCAGAACAGTCAAGAACGCCGCGCGCCGATGTGTCTGTCGCTCCTCAATTTGTTATTTATGAGCTCATTCGTTCACGCCGGGTTTAACACTCAGGCTTCCGCGACCGACATTACCATTTGTTGATGTTCGGTGCCAGATCGCGCGAGTCAAATGTGTGTCGTGAACCCTTCTCCACCCGACGCAGCCAATTCGCAAAGTTGCCACGTGAAGAAACGCGCCTGGTTTGTTACCGCTTCAGCAGCACCACCACCGGTGTGTTGTTGGAGAGCAATCTCACGGCATTCCACGTTTTAGTACAGAATTATAGGGTGCAACATAGCGGGTACAATAATCTCATTTTTTTATGGATAGGTATAGCTTGCACTCTAGTGGTAGTGCCTTACACTATTCCAAGCCGGTCTGGCAGTGTTCCAAAAGATATCGAGTGAGAGATTAAGCCTAGGTTATGGCGCATGTGTCTGACTTTCTCGATCATTTGGTCACAATCTGCATGATAGTACGGTATCTAGAATCGATTTTGTTCCAACTATGTGGAATATAGCATTGGGCGGTTTCTGTACACGTCCCAAAAAATACTGTGGATTTAACCCCCTCCCCGACCCCAACTGTTATACATATTTACTTATACCCGTTAACTGAACATCAGCTAATGTTGGGAACACTCACTGGAATAATGTCTATGGAACAACGAGCTAACTTGGTAGAACTTCACAATGTCTGATAAGTGGCTTGATAACCAGCAGTAGCCAATGTACCTCATCAGGTTGCCAACATTTTGGAACATTTTGGAACACGGTGACATGGTACTTATTCGCTAGTGTCAGTGATGTTACGCGAACCCTTATGAAGTTGTGTTAAATAATCAGAATTGCAGTGACGAACTTGCGTGTTCGGGTCTCATAATTTTAATGGCGTGTCTTCGTCATCCACGATATGCATTTTTATTTGGAGACATTTGTTGTTGTTGTTGTGTGTGTGTGGTGTGTATGCACATGGGGACCAGTGGCGCAGTGGTTATCGTATTGCGCTACGAACCAGGCGACCCGAGTTCGATTCCCGCTCACAGACAAGATCTGTGACAAATATCTGAACCGGTTCTCGGTTTCCCCTAGGTCGACTTAATAGCGCACCGAGGAAACATGTGGCTGGGTGTGGTGCTGACCACCCACGCCCTCGTGTGCCGTGCCTGCCTTAAGAGGCGCTCACTAAGAGTACTCGTCCTGATGGTCTCTTGCAGGCCATATGGGGGTGGTCTCTGTCTTTGTGATTCATACTCCGTACTGCAATCTTGACGACGTAGGTTTCGATCCCTGGCCATGCACAGCATCGGTGACACATGCATCGCTAGCTAATATGGGTCTCTCCTAGCTCAACTCAGCCTTAACTGAGCACCCTGGTGCTGTGTGTGAACATCGGCACCGCAGGGATGAAGGCGGCTGGGTGTTGCGGCGGACAAAGTATGCCCTGTCTGTGAATACTGGTCTTAATACGTGCTAGCAAACAGCAATCCCTTCTGCATTCTATAAGGCTACATGGCAGGTCTGTGTATTGTGCGTGCCGTCTGCCACCTGTTGTTTTGGGACTACATTCCGTACACTTTTGAAAACTTAGCGAAGCAATTGCAATGGAGACCGGGTGTGGACATCCCAGTGTCGTTAACAGAATAATAATTATTATTATTATTTTAGGAGTTGGAGATGCTAACTATTTCACACACGCTCGTGTTTTTTTTTCACACCAACAATTGTCTTGCATTCCGATTGCTCACTCAAGCAAGTGATTTACCTATGAGAGATTCAATGAGTCTCCAGACTATGAGGCCTGCTGCATTGGGATGTTTGGTCAATTTCAGTCGTGAATGTGAATGGCATCGGGTCAGAGGGACCTGGAGAGGCAGGAGAAACCCCATGCATACGAGGAACTCACAGCACGGGAATCTCCTGGTCACCTTGCAAGCCCTATGGCTATAACGCCTGGCAGGCCCCTAGTAGCTCCCCCATGCAAGTACTAACCGGGTTCAAACCTGCTTAGCTTTTTGAGATCCGATGGGATTGGTGCATTGATTGTGATTTGATCTTAGGATAACTTGCCAATGTTAAGGCTTAATAATAAAAATGTGTTTGCTTTGCGTAACCATTGTTTAACTTGTTTCATAATCATAGCATGTCTTTTTTGAAAATATTTTACGTGAAAAAATATATATTTTTAAAATACAATATATTTTAACAACCGTGTCTTTTGCATGCGTATATGAAAGATGTCTCAGCATTCTGTGCTTTCATATTGCAACTTCGTATGCGTCCACAGTGTTTATGCCTAGCTCTGCTATTGAAACGGCGACTGGGCCCAGGTGTGCATGGAGAGGTGGATTGTGCCGTGTTCTCGCTCGAACAAATACTCCCACAATGCAATGTACAAGACCAGCAATATTGTTGGAATGTTACTTTTAATTATAAACGCGTTTTAGTAGCAATACTATTTGATTAATTAAAGGTTTGCCTGTTGCTCATTAACTTATATATTTAGCACCCATTAAAATGCCTATTTAAAAACTCGTCAACAAAACGTATTTTAAAATGTATTTCTCAGCAGGCCCCCATGGTGTTAAGTACAGTCTCCGACTCGTATTAGCCACTCAATTTGACCGGACTTTTTGTGCTCGGAAGAAGGCTCTTGGCTGAAACGTGGTTTAGAAATGGCGTCTTTTAAATACACGCAGTGTTATTTACAAGTGTCTTGAGTTTCGCTGCTGTGCGATGTCTGACCTGCTCCGTGTGCTGGGAGCTTTTTTTTGCGGTTCCTGAAGAAGCCTCCAGCACTTGGAGGGAAACGTCAGACATCGTGCTGAACAACGTGCGGAAACAACACAAGAACGGGGCGGAGAGCTGTGATTTAATCCGGGAGCTATTTGGATGTTTTTGTTTTAAACGGGGAGATTTCGGATCAGTGTTCGCTTCATTTTACGTTCTGGTTGATTCTATGTTGGGCATATTACGCACGTTACTTTCAAATTTGTATGCATTATCTACTAATATCTTAAGTTGAAATTGTATTAAATGACCATTTAGGGTCGTGTTTCTTGTTTTGCCGGGTATACATTGTAAATAAGTGAAAACATTACATTAAAACTTCAAGCGTTGGATTTGTGATAAAAAAGTGGTACGGACAGCTACATTATCTGAATACATGACATGGGATCGTCGATTCGCGGAGGTAATTAGCGATATACTCTCGACTGATTTTGACGAGCAGTGTCAGCAGAGCTCCTGATGAGACGGTGTTAAGGTCGCACTCAATACACACAAAGTGCTTGCCACTTGCTAAAATCGCTTTCAGATGCGCTTCTGCGGCCGTCTGGAACGCTCTCGCTTCCGATATTAGGACGCCACTGGAGCCATGCGCTTTTAAATCTAGATTGAAAACTCATTTCTTTAGAACTACTTTTTGTGTTTAGTTTGTTGTCCTTCGCCCGCACGTCCGATAAGCAGGGTTGGCGACGTACGAAAGAAGTCCAACATACATACACACATACGGTCATGGGAATTGTTTGAGCATACGGTACTTTTCGCTGAGCAATGAGGGGTTGGTGAATGGAAGTGGGAGCTTTCGCATCCCTGTGGACTGGTTCAGATATTTCTATAAAAAAAAAACTAAACTGTTTTTATTTGATCAGGTAAGGCCCACTGAGCTATAAAACAAAAGTGACCTGGCCACATATGACAGCTCAACGAAGTGGCTTATTACGTGGACTTTTATAGCAGCCAAATACTCTACACGCATGTTTCTAAATGTGGAGGGAAAAATCGGAAGACCCAGAGAGAAATCCACGCGCCCACGGGGAGAACATGCAAACTCCCAACTACACAGCAGGCGTCGGGGTCGGGATCGAATCCACGACCTCCTTCATACCAGGCGAGGTAGTTAACATCTCCTAGCCACCGTGGCGCCTTAATCTCGCCACTGATGTTAGCCGTGAGCGGAAATCGAATTTCAAAATTAACACTGCGGTGGAGGTAAAGACGCAGCCCTACAATTGCTTGCTCGTGCCACTGCTGAAGGGCCTCCGTTAGAGAGAGCTTGACAGCCCCCTTGTAGAGGGTACAGAAGTACCGTTTTTTAAAAATCAAGGTTACTATTTTGTCTTGATCTACTTCGTAGATCTCGAGGATTTGGAATAAAGCCGTTGTGAATCTAGAACGTTTGGTATGGAAACGTGAATCCATCCTTATTAATGATCCACTGGGCTGTGAAGTTCATCAGAGCGTGCCGGGCGGACTGGTTGCCCTGTACGTGCATGCATTTAATAATAATTATACATTTATCACGTGTATCTGACGTCTTGTGCGTAAAAGTCACGTGTAAAAACATTCGCTCAATATGAAAACAAAAATACATTGACCATCCACTACCGCGGATAGAGGCGTTACACTTCTGTGAATCATTAACACAAAGGCAAAGATCCCCCGTAGAGCCTTAAGAGACTGTCGGGGCAAGCGCGGTTAGCGAGTACCTATGAAGGTCGGCACGGCACACGACGGGGTGGGTGGCCAGCACCACGCCCGGCCACCTTTGTCTCCCCAGTGGCGATGTTTACACACCGCAACAGGTACTCATTTGAGGCTGAGTCGACCTAGGGGACGCCTCCAGTTCCCGGTTCAGAAAATCGTCAGTGATGTTGGCCGTGAGTTGAACTCGGTTGGTCGGGATCGTAGCGCTAACCTCTGCAATATTCCCCCTCCCTCCCACCATTGAATCATTAACTCATAAGAGGACAAACCCCTTCGCCTACATATGATCAGGCGGGGGTGGAGTGGCCAATAGCACGCACGGCCGCCTTCGTACCCCCCCCCCCCGGGCAATATTTACACATCACAACCTCAGGTACTCACCTAAGACCGAGTCGACCTCAGGGATGACCACAGCGTGACAAGTTATACTGCGCGCGCACACACACACATACACACGCATATGTATCACTCGCCAGGCAATGACGACGTTAAGTGTTAACCCGGTAATATATTGGCCGAGTTGAATGAAGAGAGGAAACAGGACCGGTTTGGACATCACTCGCCAGCCACTGATGTTTCAACCGTGGCCGGGAATCGAACTTTGTTCGGTGGCCGTGTGCGCAGTGTAGTGCGTTCGCCGCTCACACAGACACACAACTCGGGAGGAGGAGGGGGCTGGAGTTTGGGGACACTATTATTTAGTCGCCGCATCGCTCAACGATCTCACCACTTCGGGATTTCCGCGATCACCCCCCCCCCCAACCCAACCACGCCAGGTATGTCACCTCCCAAGGTCCCATGATTGCAGTTCCAGTTGAAATGCGTTCTCGTGAATTTGCGTGATTCTGTTCATGTTAAGCCCTTAACAAACTTGGTAAACAGAGAATTAAAAAAGCAACTATTATTAATCGGGTCCCGTGGTTGTGAAATGCCATCTCCAGCTTTTATCGACTAGGGCACGGAACCTTTTTTTTCCCAGTATCAACGTATTAAAAAAAGAATAAGTTCAACCGTATCTGTCAATAAAACACCAGGTGTTAAGATTTTCAAACACCAAATGGAAATCTTTTGCAATTTACTAAAGTTACTGCATTAACCACACACGGTTCTTGTGATGATAGATAGATCCTTTATTGTCATTGTCACCAGTACAACGAAATTTAAAGTGCTCACCAGTCAGTACATCATTCATAAATTTAAATAAAACAAGAAATAAAATAAAAGATAATCAATAAATTTCATATATAAAAACTACCCAAGTATACCCACATACCCACATAAAAGTACATTTTATCATTGCACATCCTTATTTTACAGTCAATTGTATACAGTATTACTTAGTAATTAATTAGCAGTATTGAGTGTGGTAATTGCTGTAGGATAAAAGCTGTGTTTGAATCTGTTTGTCCTTGTTTTGACTGATCTGAATCGTCTGCCTGATGGCAACGGCTCAAACAGAGAGTGTCCAGGGTGAGAAGAGTCATTTATAATGTTCTTCGCTTTTTCGATGCAAACAAACATGCTCTGATAATATATTTGCATTGTCTTTGAAACTTATTGGCCTGCACAAGAGACAGCCTTCTTTAGGGAAACAAAGGCGGCCGGGAGCCTTTTGTCAGAGCAAGATTGAAATTTGCATGTTGACGACAAGTTCCGTGTGTGGTTAATGCAGATTCCTTGCAAAAGTTTTCTGTTTGGTGTTTTATCATTTTAACACCTGCTTTATTGCCAGAAAGGGTAAAACACATTCTTATATTTTGATACTGGCAAGAAAGGTCCCATATTGTAGCTGCTCACCCCGGCCTATAAATGTCCTGATCGTGCATTGTCTTTGTGCTGTTCGCCTTTTGGCGTCCTCTGGTTTAACACTGTTTGAGATGAGGCTCTACAGAAAGCTGTCTCTGGTGTGGATCAATCAGTTTCAAAGACAATGCATACATTCATTATCAGAGCATGTTTTTTGTTTGCATGCTCACCACGAGTACTGTGTGTGTGGTTATTGCAGGAATTTGATTCCTTGCAGAAGGGTTCTCTTTGGCGTTTGAACATCTTAACACCTCCCGTTTTATTGCCAGAAAGGGTAAAAGTATATTATAACCTTTCACACTTATCAACTCTGTCTGGCCTCCGTTTACGTGGTATGCAGAAGGGCAATTGCCTGAAACGTCACCGATTATATATTTTCTGTTAAGATCACATTTCGATTATTTTGCTGCTGTAAATTTCCACGTGATAAGCTACTTTTGTTGAGCTATCATTCGTGACCAGGTCGCTTCTGAAAAATAAGTTAATAGCTCAGTGGGCCTTACCTGGTGGATTAAAAAAATAGTTTTAATTTAATTGTATATCACTTTCAAATTATTGGTTTACCTTTCCTATACTTTGCACTCATATCGTTTTTTGTACGTATTGATGTCACATTCTAATCCTCCCCTACTGGACATTTGTGGACAAGAGCTTAATTGCTCATCGGATTCCTCCAGTCTAGATAATGAATCCGATTCTGAGATAATATAGATGCTTAGACATTAGATCTAAAGTTATTGTGCTCTTTAAAAAAACAAACGACATGCTTATTAACCTCAATGTCGCCTAAATCCGTGTGAATATTTACACTGCGAGAATTAAGGGACGTACTTGGTGAAAGTGATGGTGTCCATTCTCGCTCTCAAATCTCTCCTCCCCCTACTCCCCTCTCCTTGTGCACAATCCACCGGTTCCCGACTCGCCCCCCCCCTTTGCACTGCAACAAACTTCCCCTTCCTTCCCTCCATCCCTAGGTCACCCCCGTAATTCCCGTACCCACTAAATCTCCCTCCCCATACCCCATCCCTATTCACCGTATTGCCTGTAGCCACCCTCATTGTACCACTCGTAGCCCTTGCAAAGCGCCTTTGATAAAGACGCCGTATAAATTTCGATTTAAAGCTTTCGTGACTGCAAGGATTCATCTTCTTTGGTTCTTTCGGTGAAGTCACGTAGAATGAGAATAAAATAATAAAATAAAACAATCAAATTCTCACGACGTTTCGGCCACAACACAAGTGGCCTTCTTCAGGTGAAAGGAACAAACCTGTCGGGACGACAGAGCTACAATGAACGCTGCTAAGATTCGCAGCGTCTTTTAAGCTGGTTGAGAGAAGTGAGGCACCTTGACAAAGGGGTTTACATATCAAACAGGAGAATTTAGCATTGAAACAGTTGAGGTATTAGCTTGTGACTGGTCACAGAAATAGCTCTGTTAAAGTCAAAGCCTACACATCCACAGAGGCGCCTAGTGCATGGACGCCAAAGGGGCTGCAACAACTCAACTATCATACAGTAAACCGATGTGAAAAAAAAAAAACCTAAGTCTAAATTACATCAATATAATAAATGTAAATTTTGATTTAAAGCTTTCGTGACTGCAGTAATTCATATTCTTACCTCTTTCGGTAAAGTCACGTTGAAGGGATACAATAAAACAATTTATATATATTTTATTATTTTATTGTTTCCCTTCAACGTGACTTTACCGAAAGAGCTAAGCATATAATAAATGTACTCAATATATTCTTCAATAAGCAGAGCTATTAACAGCAACTGGGTATACACTACACTATATAATGAATACCATATAGTAAACAGATTAAAAAAAACTAAAATATAAACTACCTCAATGTTAAATTTTGATTTTATTGTTTTATATATATACTATTATTTTGTTGTTTCTCTTCAACGTGACTTTACCGAAAAAACTAAGAATATACCTCAATGTTATCAATAAACTCTATATATTCTCCAATCAGCTGAGCTACCAACAATAAGTCGTTATATAGCACGATGCTACATGGCGAAAAAAATGGGTGGATTCTTACCCTCCACATCAGCAACACGGACCGCTACGAGCCCCGTTCAGATGGACGAGTCCATCATGGTCGGAACAGAGGAGAGAAACAGCTGCGAGGCGCTGTTATAATCATGTTATAAACCATACCATTAACCGTGGTGTGAGAAGTATTAAGAGTCAATGCCAGCGAAAGAGCTGCGGTCTGAAGGTCACCATAAAATAAATAATTAATAAACGAAATGGTTTAAAACATCTTTCCAATGGTTACTAAGCCAGAATCCATCTTCTCAGTTGAAATTGTCTCTGTGCTTGTATATGTGGATAGCCTCATGAACGAATCTGAATAAACACAAGATCCAGGTCCGATTCAACACAGTACGTAAAATCCGTGATCTGGTTCCATCTGTAAAATATGCTGTTCCAGACATACAGTACCCGGGCGTTTACAAACTAAAGTGCCTCTGTGGTAGTAGCTACATTGGAGAAACCAAACGACATATCTCGGACCGCATCCGCAAAGCAGACTTGAAACACCGTAGAACGAACTCCTCCGCCGTGGCAGATGACTGTTATAATTCAGTGGGCTCACATGACATTGACTTCTCCAAGACGGAGGTTATTTGCAAGCCAACCGGCTACCATGAGAGATTCGTTCATGAGGCTATCCACATATAGAAACACAAAGACAATTTCAACCGAGAAGATGGATTCTGGCTTCGTAACCATTGGAAAGATGTTTTAAACCATTTCGGTTCTTAATTAATTATTTTATGGTGACCTTCAGACCGCAGCTCTTTCGCTGGCATTGACTCTAATACTTCTCACACCACGGTTAATGGTATGGTTTATAACATGATTATAACAGCGCCTCGCAGCTGTTTCTCTCCTCTATTCCGACCATGATGGACTCGTCCGTCTGAACGGGGCTCGTAGCTGTCCGTGGTGCTGAAGTGGAAGGTAAGAATCCACCCATTTTTGCCATATAACATCGTGATATATAACGACTTATTGTTGGTAGCTCAGCTGATTGGAGAATATATAGAGTTTATTGATAACATTGAGGTAGTTTATATTTTAGTTTTTTTAATCTGTTTACTATATGGTATTCATTATATAGTGTAGTGTATACCCAGTTGCTGTTATTGAAGAATATATTGAGTACATTTATTATATTGATGTAATTTAGACTTAGTTTTTTTTCACATCGGTTTACTGTATGATAGTTGAGTTGTTGCCGCCCCTTTGGCGTCCATGCACTAGGTGCCTCTGTGGATGTGTAGGCTTTGACTTTAACAGAGCTATTTCTGTGACCAGTCACAAGCTAATCCCTCAGTTATTTCAATGCTAAATTCTCCTGTTTGATTTGTACTAGGTGCCTCTGTGGATGTGTAGGCTTTGACTTTAACATAGCTATTTCTGTGACCAGTCACAAGCTAATCCCCCAGCTATTTCAATGCTAAATTCTCCTGTTTGATATGTAAATCCCTTTGTCAAGGTGCCTCACTTCTCTCAACCAGCTTAAAAGACGCTGCGAATCTTAGCAGCGTTCATTGTAGCTCTGTCGTCCCGACAGGTTTGTTCCTTTCACCTGAAGAAGGCCACTTGTGTTGTGGCCGAAACGTCGTGAGAATTTTATTGTTTTATTTTATTATTTTATTCTCATTCTACGTGACTTTACCGAAAGAACCAAAGAAGACGTCGTATAAATGGGAGATACGGTAAAGTCCGTGGTATTGTCCGTGATCACGGACAAGGGTCCGGGTTTTTTGTTTATTCGGGAAGAGAGACAACACCTTGGGAATCTTGGCTGCACAAGCACAGGCCGGCCCTCCTATAACACGGTAGTTGCGTTCCTGAGGAAGACCGCATTACAGGAAAAAAATCGCGTTGTTATGAATACTAATGCAGGGTGCTTTCGAACAAAAATGTTGACACTTCTGAGAATTTGCAATGACACAACGAGGAATGTGCCGTCTACGGGCTCTGGAGATCACCTGGAGATTCCAGGCACGCGTTGACAACGATGGCGAACAAGTGGAGTCTTTTTTTACTTTTATAAGCTATCAACATTCATTTGTCGTCATGTTACAGTGTATTTATTTTCCGTTCTCTCACAATAAAAAACGAGAGTCCCATGCAAGTGTTAACATTTTTTTGAAGCGCCCTGTAATATGTGTGGGGTAAAGCAGAGTCCACGATAACTCGTGTGACGCGTACGCAGGCTGAACAGCGACTTGAGGCGCGTGGGTAGTTTTGGCCGGTGTGAGCTCGCCTGTGATGAATTGCACGTACTGTGTAATTGTGCACTCTGCGAAAAGCTACGGGTAGCCAGGTGCGTTGCATTTATAATTATTTTTACTATTTAAGAGAAGGCAATGGTGATCAGGGATTTGACTCCGAGCCTCCCACGTGCACAGTCGGAGTACAAAGCACGCCCCCGAATTCGATTTCGGGGCTGGCCTCCGTGCTGAGAGATGTGAGCTGCGGTGTTGTGACGTGGAGGGTGTCTCTGATCGCTATTGCAGACACGCAATTTATTTTGAAAAGGAGGACCTTTTCGAAATAATTTGTTTTACGTTTTACAACCCCCCCCCCCCCCCACCATTCCTGGTGCCCAGCTGTTGTGGAGTCGCCCCCACTTCTCCAGAGGACAGAAAACAACACAGAGTCTCAACTCATCGACCCCGACCTTTATAGCTTTTAACGTTCTAATTAAAAGTGGCGGTGACTTTACCGAAAAAACCCAAAAAGTATGAATCCTTGCAGTCACGAAAGCTTCAAATCTAGAAGTGGCGGTATAGTTATGGTGACGGGAGAATGGGTTGGGAGTGGTTAAGGAGCGGTTGAGGGTAGTGATAGGGTTGGGTAGTAAGAGGAGTTGGGGTCGTGATAGGGGTAAGTGTAGTGATAAGGGTTGGGGTCTCCTGAGGCTATGTAGGTACTTTGTCTTTGCATATTTGCATGTGTATATGTGTAAGTTCCTCTCTACGCTTGCGTGCAGGGTGGGGGAAGGAGGTGGTTGGTTGGGGGGGGGGGCAATCATTGATGTTCGTCCGTCTTTGTCTCTTCACGAGGACAGGTAACAGGGCCACGGACCCATGTCGCTGCTCCCCGCTACGGATTCGTCGCCCGCCTGGTTCGATGGCGGCGCCGGCAACGGCACGGCCGCCAGCCCCGAGGGAGAGGACACCTACGGCAACGCCATCAACGCCGCCGTCACGTTGGTCCTCGTGGTCACCATGGTGTCGCTGGGCTGCACCATGGAGCTCGAGCACATCGGCGCACACCTCAGGAAGCCCCGGGGCATTTTCATCGCCGTGCTGGCGCAGTTCGGCATCATGCCGCTCACCGCCTTCGCCTTGGCCAAGGTCTTCCGCCTGAATCCCGTGGAGGCCGTCACCGTCCTCATCTGCGGCTGCTGTCCCGGAGGGAACCTCTCCAACGTGTTCGCGCTGGCGCTCGACGGAGACATGAACCTCAGGTCCCGGTGTGCGCGTGCGCGCCTGTATTGCGATTGCTACCAGTGATGCCATCTATAAACCGTAATCGGTCGGTGACCAATTATCGCCTTCATCATAAATCAACGATCGTTTCCGTCAATCAACATCGCCGTCCTCACCACCGATGAGCACGGTTGGCTACGTACGGTGCGACATAAGTTCTACATCCATGCACATGCATGCATCGTCATTATACTGCTGCATAGGTTTTTCGTGGCTGCGCCGCATTGCCTCCTGATGTGTTTTCGGGCTGTCATGTTGGGCATTTTGCTCTGCTGGCAGCGAAATGTGGGACATCGTGCTGAACAACACGCGGCACCACCCGAAAACACATCGGAGAGCTCTGTACACCACAACCGCCACACCTTACGCAGTGGTATTACTCGGTGAGGGTTTTATGAATATATGACAGTATGCCGACTAGCGGCCATGAGTGCTAACTACGGCTGTGGGTGCAACATTAGACAGTACACACGCGAGCGACCACAAGGGGGGCATAACTGGGCCAAGGGTCAAAGAGGGGATCGAACTGGAAGCTCCTGGAACCCGCGAGAGAGTTCGAGAAGAGGGGCGTGGCCAAGGGCGGAGCTTCGCCACGCTGGGTGAATATAAGGGAGAGGCGAGCGGGGTTCAGCGCTGTCGTGGGGGTTCGGGGTCTTGGCTATCGTTGTCGCTGTCATCGCTGCAGTCTCTTCGTCGCCGTCGTCGATAGAGTCAGCCAGCTATATAGTCTTTGTCGCTGTCGTCAATATATAGTCAACCAGCTATTTCGTCGAATGTCGCCATCATCGCTATGTGGTCGACGCTATATCCTAACCTGTGACTGTGTCCTCATGTCGTAGCTGTATGCCGACAAGAAATAATAAAGGAGCCCTCTACATACTCTTTGTTTTTTTTCGGTAAAGTCACGTAGGTAAAGTAAAATTTTAAATAAAAGAAAACAACTAAATTAAATCACGACGTTTTGGAGGCAACACAAGCTTCCGTCTTCAGGTGGAACAGTCACAGCAAGATAGCTGCATCTATCTTGCTGTGACTGTTCCACCTGAAGACGGAAGCTTGTGTTGCCTCCAAAACGTCGTGATTTAATTTAGTTGTTTTCTTTTAGTTAAAATTTTATTTTACCTATGTGACTTTACCGAAAAAACCAAAGAGTATGAATCCTTGCAGTCACGAAAGCTTCAAGTCTAGAGCCCTCTACAGTTATGTCTCTGAAGTCAATACATTACAAATAGACAAGAATCAGAAACAGAGAAGTAGTTCCCCGTGTATGAGGCTCAGTGGGCTGAGAAGCTCTCGTTCAAGGTCGACTCAGTCGGCAGACAACATCAACGCATTCCACAGTTACAGATTTAAAAAAACAGCAACAACTTAAAAATAACCATTATGTTGTTAAATGACATTCACGCTAACACTTTCGTTTCGTAACGAAAACAGTTCGTTTAAATGAGGACGGAGGTGGCACACTGGAGATGCCAAGAAACGAAACCGGGAGGTTCCAAACACTTTTGGTGCAGACACCTTAAATGCCTCCAATCTAAATTGTGTGCCAAATCCGTGGAACTGTTAATAGACAATCAGGCGCGCGTCGGTGTATGGTGACGTTGCCGTTGTACTGTTTTCGTGTGCAGCATCCTCATGACCACGTGCTCCAACGTGCTGGCGCTGGGCATGATGCCGCTGCTGCTGTGGGCGTACAGTCACGGCCTGTCGGACACGCGCTTTGTCATTCCGTACGGGAAGATCTCCATCACCCTCGCTCTCATCCTCTTGCCCTGCGCCGCGGGAATCTTCATCAACGCCAAGTTCCCCAAGTACTCGCGCATGATGCTGCGGGTGAGTACGCAGCATCATGCGGCGTGATGCTGCTGCTGCTGCTGTGTGCGAGCGTCGATTAACCCTTTAGCGTTCCGATGACGAACGTGTACGTCATCAGTTTTTCTTTCGATTCTGTTCCGATGGCGTACGTGTACGTCACCGGAAAAAAACCTAAAATAAAATTACTTTATCAGTACCGAGGCTCCCACAAGTGCTAGAGGGTGTGGGTACAGTTTGGCGCCAGCTATTCTCGAATGCGGTCGTGTCGCTACGGTTCTCTGTGGTGAGTACAATGTCTTTAAGAACAACGGTGCTGCGCCTCTCTAAATAAAATTAACGCTGAGATTCAGAGGTGAACGGGACACCCACCCTTGCAACTTGCACTTGTCTCAGAACGGGAAAGGGTTAAGGATGGCGTGACGTGAGTTGGCTGTGTGGCCGAGAGGAAAGTGCTGAGCTGGCAACGATGAGAAGGGTTCTAATCCATCGGCCACCAGTGATTTAAACCTTGTTCTCTAGAGTGGAGTGAGTTGATGGCCTTACCCCGGTTAACAATGACAAAATGCACACAATTAAATTTTTCACTTCACATGGATGAATTACATCTCCGAGAAGCCTATCAGGTGGACTATCACGTGACAAACGTTGTTCTTGTTGGCCGGGCGGGCGGGAAAGTGCCGCCCCCTTCTCTGTGGGACAGGCGTGCATGCGTGATGAGACGAGCTCGCTATCGGGAGCTGGATGGACCGTTACATTGTAGAACTGTGACGGAGGGTGACGGCTTGGTGGGGGGAGAGGCGGAGGCCTCCATCCAGCGGTGGACATAGATCATGACCGAGACGATGCAAGCCTCTCGCCTGGTAGAAGCGAAGGTTCTGTCTTCCCGTCACTGTGTGCCGCAGGCTGGGATGGCGCTCCTGCTGGTCACCGGGATTGTCTTCATCGTCCTGATGGCGCTGTACATGGGCTCTATCATCTGGCTCGTGTTCTCTCCCACGCTCATCTCCATCGGGGTGCTCATGCCCCTGCTCGGATTCACGTTGGGCTTCTTCCTCGCGGGGCTCTTCCACCTCTCCTACAAGTGCGCGTCTCAGTACTGGGATACCAGTGGTGGCCCTTGACATAAGCAAATTAAGTGGATTAAATGGGGGAGGGGGGAGCACATCCGTGAAGGAATATGGGTGCACCACATATCAGCTTGGACGCCACGGTGGCGAGACGCTAACTCCCTCGCCTCGTATGCAAGGAAGTCGTGGGTTCGATCCTGACCATGAAGCTTGTATGTTTGGAGTTTGCATGCTCTCCCTGTGGTCGTGTGGAATTTTCTCCGTGTTCTCCGGTTTTCCCTTCCACATTTAGAAACGTGTGTTTAGAATATTTGGCTGCGATGAATCTCCACACAGTAATATGGCCAGATTGCTTCTGAAAAAAAGCTCAGTGGGCCTTACCTGCTAAATAAAAAATAGTTAGCTCAAGTACTTTTGAACATAATGCTAATGACACGTTTATATTTTGATTTTAAGCTTTCGTGACTGTAGGGATTCATATTCTTGGTTCTTTCGGTAAAGTCACGTAGAAGGGAAACAATAAAATGATAAAAATATAAAAAATTTAATTCTCACGACGTTTCGACTGCAACACAAGCAATCATCATCAGGTGTGAAAACCACACTAGAAAATTTGAAAAAAAGTGGCGTTTTTTTTTAACGTTAGCACCACGGATAGCGATTTGACAGTTTGTTCAGATGGACGAGTCCATCTATGGTCGGAAAAGAGTAGGGGAGACGAAAAATAATGGATGCAGTCTGAAAGCCACCTTAAGCGTGATAAATCAATTAAGACCCGAAATGGTTTATCAAATCCTTCCAATGATTGCTAAGCCAGAATCCATCTTCTCGGTTGAAATTGTCTCTGTGTTTGTATATGTGGATAGCCTCATGAACGAATCTCTCATGGTAGCCAGATGGCATGCAAAGAACATCTGTCTTGGAGAAGTCAATGTCATGTGAACCTACTGAATTATAACAGTGATCTGCCATGGCTGAGGTGTTGGTCCTACCGTGTTTCAGGTCTGCTTTGTGTTCACGAATGCGGTCAGAGACATGTCGCGTCTACAAACTAAGTTGCCTCTGTGGTAGTAGTTACATTGGAGAAACCAAACGACGTCTCGAACCGCATTCGTGAACACAAAGCAGACCTAAAACATGGTAGGACCAACACCTTGGCCATGGCAGATCACTGTTGTAATTCAGTAGGTTCACATGACATTGACTTCTCCAAGACAGAGGTTCTTTGCAAGCCATCTGGCTACCATGAGAGATTCATTCATGAGGCTATCCACATATACAAAAACAGAGACAATTTCAACCGAGAAGATGGATTCTGGCTTAGCAATCATTGGAAGGATTTGATAAACCATTTCGGTCTTAATTGATTGATCACGCTTCAGGTGGCTTTCAGACAGCATCCATTATTTTTCGTCTCCCCCCTCCTCTTTTCCGAACATAGATGGACTCGTCCATTTGAACAAACTGTCAAATCGCTATCCGTGGTGCTAACGTTAAAAAAACGCCACTTTTTTCAAATTTTCTTGTTTTGGTTTTCACACCTGATGATGATTGCTTGTGTTGCAGTCGAAACGTCGTGAGAATTGTATTTTTTATATTTTTATTATGTTATTGTTTCCCTTCTACGTGACTTTACCGAAAGAACCAAGAATACGTTTATATTTGTTTTATTGTTAGTCTAATAACTAGGATGTTTAACACATTCGTCAATAACAGTGGCCTTCAAAATAAAAAAAATACATCTTCAATTATGTAAAAAATTTCATATTGGATCATGTCCGTACTATGAAGAAGGTCCATTGCTAGAATGGTCACCTCATTTGTTTATTTTGAAGCCACAGTGTAATTGACGAATGTGTTGAGTTTTTGTTCATTTGTGTGCACCACTGCCAGCATCAACCGAGAGACTTAGGAATGAATTGTCTTTTTCCTTTGTCCACCCATAAAAGGCCTGACTCGCGTTTCGTCTGCTTTGATCATGCTGACGATGCCCGTTTACAAAGCTACAACAAAACACGGCGATAATATTTCATTAGATCACAATTTTTTTCATTCGCTATTCGTCCCATTGTCGTGATCCCTATTCCGTGCCTGGTTTTTGTCGGCCTCTCTCAGACTGGAGAGAAATTAATTGGGCATAATTTACCTTCCACGCGTATACAAATGAGATAATGCCACAACTGTGTTGCTTATCTCCAGATCAAAATCCCCACAAACCAAGACCCCCAATCACTGCGTGTTTATGTGGTGCAGTAAACAGGTTTGTTCTGCCATCAATCTCAATTGATGCCCCTCTGTTCTGGAATCACTTGACCTCCCATACCGCGTTCAAATTAAATTCCAACCATAGCTGAGTTAAAAAATATACAAAAAATAATGAATAGCCTTGACGAAGACCTGTGTAAATTTTTTCGATAAGATAAGTGGTTGTTTTCATGTTTTGTTTTTGCGTTTATTCAATCTGTTTTCGCACTCATTACACACAAATTGCTTGCCGCAAATGAACCACAATCCCTTGTTGACCCCGTCAACGAGCGTACACCACTAGGCAAACTCCGGCCATCCTCGCAGTGGCTTTTGGCTAACCATCGAACAAAAACGATCACTGCTTCGCACGCTTTCAGATGCGCTTCTGTGGCCGTCTGGAAAGCTCTTCCTTCCAATATTCGGAAGCCACCGGAGCTATGCACTTTTAAATTTAATTTTAAAACTAATTTCTTTAGAACAGTTTTTTTTGTGTTCAGTTTGTTGTCCTTCCCCCACACATCCGTTGAGCATGTTTGGCTACGTACAGCGTGAAAGAAGTTCAAGATACATACATAGTATAAGTTGACATTTTACCAGAATGTTTACATTCCGAAAACTAACACTTATAACTCGCTCACTCATCTGTGGTTCCTCCTCGCACCGCTGAGTCATTTCTGCCTCTTCAGGAGTGAACCAACGCCGTGTGGTACAAGTCGATATAATTTCCATACAATAATAATTGTAATAATAATTATTTTTTCACATTCTTTACTTGTTATTGTAACATTATAGTGTAGATTTGTTGCATTTGTTACATCTAATATGTTTTTTTAAAATTATCATTTGGGGTACTTAACGGCTTGATGTAACCCAGTTCACCCTTCACATAAGAGCCAACATTTCACGCGTCTCAATGGGTTTATTTAATGCTCCTGTTAAATGAAGATACTGACTGAGGTAGCTGTTCAGGAATATATGAAAGTCTTCCAGGAAATTGACTGTGCTGGATCTTGTCAGTCGTGTAATAATACACGTATGAAGGCAATGCATTTGCACGTGGTCCTTGTCTCTGCCAGGGTTGTAAGATAGCATTCTGCCCCTGCTAGTATATATGCCAGTTGCTTTGTATCTTAGAGTTGGCAACCAAAACAACAGTGGTGGTGCTAGGCACATGCAAACTAAGCAAAAGCATTGGGTCCCATGAAGCTCAACGGGCCCTGGATTCATTGAAAATGTAATAGTGAACCAAATATCAGCTTCAGTGGGTCTCTCCTCAGGGCTCCCAATGTGCCAGTACCACAAGTAGCAAACAACAACAACAACAACGCTTACGCCCATCCCCTCTCTCCCCGGCTCTCACGGACAGATGCAGACGTGCCATCTCCATGGAAACAGGATTCCAGAACCTGCAGCTGTGCTCCGCCATCCTGAGGCTGACCTTTGACCCACAAGTGATCGGCCCGCTTTACCTCTTCCCGCTGCTCTACATCATCTTCCAGATTGCGATGGCGCTGCTGCTCGTGCTCATGTTCCGGCTGTACGTCCACTGCTACCGGCAAAAAGAACAGCGCCACGCCGGTACGCCTGCCCCAAGGCACCGCCGTCTCTGCTGTTGACCGCAGGGCGATTTATGAACCGAAAACAAGTGGGCTGTCGGGGGGTGGGTCTTAACACGGGTAAAGTGAGAACAGACACAGCCCCCACAGAGGTATACCCGTGTCTAAACTAAACTACTTTTTTGTCTTACCAGGTAAGGCCCACTGAGCTTTCTAGCTCTTTTTCAGAAGCGACCTGGCCACAATTGGTAGTTCAGCCAAGTGGCTTGTCACGTGGAAATGTATAGCGGCCAAATACTCTTAAGACGCGTGTTTCTACATGTGGAGGGAAAACCCTGAGGACCCGCAAAAAAATACACGCCATCACGAACTCTTGTTGTTATTGGCAAGACATAAACCCCATAACGTTTTTGCTATTGCCGTGGCTAGTTTCCAGTTGTTCGGAGTACATGCGTTGCGATTACCAATGACGATCTCCTTACGATTAGTCCAGCAGTAGGATACTGGAATCTGTGTTGCTCATGAACATTCTGTTGTACACAGCAGATAAACATTACGACGTATGTTTATTTAGCACCTAAATGCATGCTGTACAGAACTGTAATGCACAAGACTGCATGACCGCGTAGTGCCCAGCAGAGAGAAATACAGTAATATATATTGTTGTCCTGTGCTATGCAGCCACGGCAATGCTCTCTTATCTCCAACAACCCGCACTGACCAGCGTGGTGAAGTATGGTCAAATAAACCCGGCGACCCGCATGGCGTGGGTAGGCACTCACTGATCCAGCAGTGGATTTACAAAAACGGTTGTACATGTAATTCAGGCAGTTCCTACCATAGGAATGTGGAATTTCCATCACAAGCTCAGGGCCGGCAATAAGATATGACCATCGCGCCTTGCATGTTTTGAGTAAGGAGCAGTGTTTTATTTGACCTGCGGGTACTGTGCTGTGAAAGCTTGCGCGTAACGTCACCTGATTTTTGCCCACGTGTTGCGTCCGTGTCGTTTTACGCAGAGAGAACCGTCGAGATTTACAGAATCAAGCTTGAAGGTGAAGTCACGGAGTTGGATGGCGGTATGTCAAGGCACAAGAGTGAAGATGACAGAAATGAATCTTTTTCCGGAACAGCCTTTTGACTTTGTTTAAGCTAGGCCACAACTTACGCTGCCCTGCACTTTTTTTTGTGATATGGGAGGACATTGCGTATGGAGCGGAATGATTTCGGAGCTCGTGGTTTTTTAAGTGACGCCAGGAATTACCGTGGATTTAGCAAACACATTTTTTCGCGGAGGGCCTGTGATGCAGAGGTCAGAGCACATGCCTGGTGCCTATAACATCCTGGCTTTGAATCCAGACAGCTGCCAATGATCAAACTGGGCTCTCAAGCGTCAATACCGTCGTTGATTGTCTCAGCCAGGTGACCAAAGGCTGCAATTTAATTTGGCGAATTTCCACCTGTTCAGAGACATTCTCAGTGGCGGCAGAGGTGGTTTGGGAAGTGCGACCCCTTCCCGTGTGCACCGTATCTCACTGGCTCTGCTCCGTCACCTTGTGGACCGTGGTTCGCTTGAAGGGATTTCGGAGGTAGCTAGCTTTGTGCCGTACGTTTTGGTGGGCCGATGTCTAATACAAAGAGCTGCACTGATCTGCTTAGATATTCGAATGAATGCTTCATATCAGAACTTACCTCAAGCTGGATACAATTGGAAAAAAAAATACCAAAGTAATTAAAAAAAAACTAACTGAATTGTGTCTATTTGCTTTAGTTATGTTGTCTTGACGACACCGTGTGTCGATGACTTGATCTTGTAACTTCGTGGCTTTGTCATCTTCGTTCAAAGAGAGCCTCGATTTTTTATAATCTACTAGGCGTGTGTGTGTGGCCAGATTTGTATCTGGGGAGCAGCAGTGTAGTGGTTATCATGCTGTGCATATGGACCTGGCAACCCCGGTTTGATTCCTGCTCACGGCCAACACCAGTGACGATAATCTGAATCGGTCCTGGGCCTCACCTAGGTCGACTCACCCTCGAATGAGTTCCTGGTGCGATGTGTAGTAAAACATCGCCGCTGGGGAGACAAAGGCGGTCGGGCGTGGTGTTGGCCACCTACCCCCTCGTGTGCCGTGCCGGCCTTCATAGGTGCTCGCTAACAGCACTTGCCCTAACAGTCTGTTGAGGCTATATGGGGAATCTTTTTGGCCATATTTGTATAACTTTTATTGATACCGGGCGCAAGTGTGGGGTGCGTCCTACATTCCGGAACGTCTCATAATCCGGAGAATGCCATCAAAGTAAAAATGTCTTAAGCGCGGTACAGCAATTCACAATGTGCCTGGAGACGTTCCACGTTCAGTGCCAAATAATTTACTGCACTTTAAATTTTGATTTAAAGCTTTCGTGACTGCAGGGATTCATATTCTTGGTTCTTTCGGTAAAGTCACGTGACTTTACCGAAAGAACCAATAATTACTGCACTTTCTTGCAAAAAAAATCCTTTGTTAAAGTTTGTTGATTAAAAAGTAAATCAAAACGGCTTTTATATAAATTGCCGACACACTAACAATCTTCCCAATATTCTTGGTTCTTTCGGTAAAGTCACGTAGAAGGGAAACAATAAAAAAATACAAATATAAAACAATACAATTCTCACGATGTTTCGACTGCAACACAAGCAATCATCATTTTATTGTTTAATATTTTTATTTTTTATTTTGTTTCCCTTCTACGTGAATTTACCGAAAGAACCAAGAATATGAATCCCTGCAGTCACGAAAGCTTTAAATAAAAATCTTCCCAATATTTTATGGAAACTCTTCATCTGTGTTTGCCATAATCATCATCACCCTCGTCACCGGCTATGATCAATCCGATGCTGGATGATGGCCTACTCAAGTCGTCACCATCCCTCGCGAACCTGCGATGCAACAATCCATCTCTCCTCTGACGTCCCAGAGTGGTGTGTATGCCCTGAGTATCTGTAAATAATCTCCCAAGCTGAGCATTACGTTACCATAGATTGAAGAACCTGATAGGTTTCCATAGCACGATATTTTTTTGTCAATATTGTGGGTTTACTCTCCAACACACCGGTGTGCTGAACTAGTAACGAATTTGTATGTCTTGTCTACGTGACGAACCTTACCAGTTGTCTGTGTCGGGTGGTGGCGGCTTTAACGACACATTTATATCGACGCAATATAACCCAAAAAACACCTCACGGATTGTAGTTGTAGCGAAAGCCTTTGTTAAATGTATTAACTTCACGGGTAATTCAGTAGGCGGCGCTCTATAAGCATGAATACGTGACGTGGGTTTCAGAATTAAGTGCTGTCCGAGCGGGAACCCGCGGAACTTCTGCGGTAAAAGGATGGCAAATGTGTAGGTTTTTAAAAATCACTCCCTCTCCTGCACCTCACCAATGTCGCGTGACGTCATACCCCCCCTCGCCTCACCAACGCACCACAATCTCGCTCAATCCGTGTTGCACGGGGATATTGAGTTTTCACGGTCCGTACGGCGTACAGCCGTTTCAATACGTGCACAAACAAATGTATGTGTCTGTGTTTCTCCCTCGTGATGGGACTTGGTAGGATGAACGTTGAGATTTATAAGGGGCACGGGGCTACCAATAAGGTTCTGAATTGGTCCGTAATAAGGTAAGGGGTTGACGGGCATGTTCGCGTGGCTTCATCACCCATAATAGAGTTTGTTGGGGGTTAGATTGCGTATATATAAATGTGTCGTTAAACCCGCCACCACCCGACACAGCCACTTAGAGTTAAGGGTTTGTCACGTAAACAGAACGTGGCCAATTCGTCACTAGTACAGCACACCGGTGTGTTGGAGAGCAAATCCACAACATTTACAATCTGAGTACGACGTTTCGCCAGTAATTACAACCAGCTTCATCAGGTGACAGCCAGATTTGTGAAGTCCTCCTGCCGCGACTCAATTGTCGCGTGACGTCATCACTCCTCTCACTGCCTTGTGTTTCCCGTGACGTCATCCCCCCTTTTCAACACCACCCCAATCTTGCATGACGTCATCACTCGCTGCCTTGTGACCCGTGACGTCATCAACCCCCCCCTTCCTCACAACACGACCCCAATCTTGCGTGACGTCAGTACTCCTCTCACCAACAGTTTGCTGTCATCAACCCCTCCACCTCACCAGCATGGCGTGACGTCATAACCCCCCCCCCCGCCCCTACTCGCCACCCGCAGCACACAGTTTTTATTAATATTCCAGTGCGTTACAGACAGAGGACGATCAAGCGAATTGTTATATATAGAGGAGAGACGGGCCATTGCTGGGACCGCCTTGAATGTCTGTGCTTGCACTGCAGTGGTGGTTTGAATGTGATGTATCTTGCAAGGGACGGGTGTTTGTAGAAACCACGTGCATCGCTCGCACTCGTCTTCCTACAAGCGCTTGTAAACAAGGTGAACTCATTTGCTTGGTAATTATTCTTAGGGGTTTGAGAAATGTGATGTCACATCAAAATGCGCAACTTTTAAATAAATATAGACAACACGTTCTAAATTTTGATTCAAAGCTTTCGTGACTGCAGGGATTCATATTCTTGGTTCTTTCGGTAAAGTCACGAAGGGAAACAATAAAATAAAAATATAAAGCAAAAAAATTCTCACGACGTTTCGACTGCAACACAAGCAATCATCATTTGAAAAAAGTGGCGGTTATTTTTAACGTTAGCACCACGGAGAGCGATTTGGCAGTTATTCAGATGGACGAGTCCATCTATATTCGGAAAAGAGGAGGGGGGAGACGAAAATAATGGATGCGGTCTGAAAGTCACCGTAAGCGTGAACAATCAATTAAGACCCGAAATGGTTTATCAAATCCTTCCAATGATTGCTCAGCCAGAATCCATCTCGGTTGAAATTGTCTCTGTCTTTGTATATGTGGATAGCCTCATGAACGATTCTCTCATGGTAGCCCGATGGCTTGCAAAGAACCTCTGTCTTGGAGAAGTCAATGTCATGTGAGCCTTCTGAATTATAACAATGATCTGCCACGGCCGAGGTGTTGGTCCTACCATGTTTTAGGTCTGCTTTGTGTTCACGAATGCGGTCCGAGACATGTCGTTTGGTTTCTCCAATGTAACTACTACCACAGAGGCAACTTTGTTTGTAGACGCCAGGGTACTGTATGTCCGGAAGCACATCTTTTACAGACAGAACCAGATCACGGATTTTATGTAATGTGTTGAATCGGACCTGGATCTTGTGTTTATTCAAGATTTTGGAGATCTTTTTTGTGATCACCGCAATGTAGGGTAAAGTGATGGTTTTATTTAAGTAAATAGACTTTTTAGTAAATGTTTTCTCCTACAACATCAGAGTGCAGCGGCACATTAAATACACACTACAATGACAATAGTTTAAAGCGATTTGAAGCATGTTTTATATTTTTTGGGGGGGGGAGGGCAGAGCTTTGTGACGTCATATTTGAGGGGGGGTCTGACTTTTTGTGACGCCGTGTGACGATGGGGGGGGGGGGGGTCAAAAATCGTCCAAAATCGCGTGACGTCATTTATGGACGGCCCCTAAAACTGGCTCATAATTTGGCAAGTTTTCCTGCATGTGTTTATTGGCATGTTGGGAGTCCTCGTTCGCCAGCCATGATCAATCCACTGCTGGATGAATGTCACCATTTCCCGCGGTGCTGAGATTCGACAGTGCATCCGTCTTCCGCGCGCGAGTATGTGTAATTGCTTAATCTCCGCGGCTGTTTTCCGATCCGTTGGCTGCCACTCCGTTGTTAGTCTCGACTCTGGAGTCTCGACCAGCAGGGAGAGAGGGGGGGACAGGGAGAGGGGGGGGCAGGGAGAGGGGGGGGGGGGCAGGGAGAGGGGGGGGCAGGGAGAGGGGGGGCAGGGAGAGGGGGAGCAGGGAGAGGGGGGTAGGGAGAGGGGGGACGGAAGTCGCGCGTGTGCGAGACGAAACCGGAAGCGGAAACGAGGAACGGAAACTCAGCGCACGTGGGTGGCGGGCAGCGTGAAGATCGCGCGTTGCCTTTGAGCGATCCAGAGTCGCGGTTAACGATTCCAGCTATCGCGTCGAGCCACCAATCGATTTTGATGTCTTTGTGTGTGTGTGTTTTATATCGATGTAAATTCAACGCAAAGTCGGCACAGTGGCTGAACAGTTACTCTTGACCCACACTTCACACCAATCGCGAGTGATATCTGTATATATATAGATATCAAAACACGATTATCCTTCACGCGACTCTCGGGCATCGCGAGCGTGCGAAGCGACATTGCAATCGATTAATGTCGACTCAAAGGAGGCAGCGATGGCGTGGGCATCGCTGCGGAGGAATAAGACGTTCAGATACGGGGTCCCCATGCTGGTGAGAGAGAGACAGCGAGAGAGAGAGAGAGACACACCACCACGGACGGCTGGCGTTCATGCGCAACGCCTGCCCCATGTTTTGCTGACGGGAGAGCTTGTGGGTGTGCAGCAGCAGCTGCGGTAGTAGCACTGAACGCCGTCCTTGAGATATCCGTGTGTCACAACAACACGTGGATAACGAGTGTGTGTGGTGTGTGTTTGTTGAAGTGAGCGCTAGTGCATTGGTTAGCGCGCTGCGCTACGAACCCGGCGACCCGAGTTCGATTTCTAGGTGAGGCCCAGTGACGATTAATCTGAACCGGTCCTGGGCCTCCCCAAGGTCCGACAGCTTTCCCCGCTATTTTAAAGCACGAGGGAACGTTTATTATAATCTACTGCCCGTGCGTGTGTGTGTGTGGCCATATTTGTATCTGGGGAGCGGTGGTGTAGCGGTTAGCACGCCGTGCATACGAACCTTGCTACCCGGGTTTAAATTCCTGCTCGCGGCCAACACCAGTGACGATTATCTGAACCGGTGTCAAGTGAGTACCCGGTGCGGTGGTGTAAACATCGCCACTGGGGTTTTTCTAAGGTGCTCGCTCACAGCACATGCCCCTACAGTCTGTTACGGCTATACTGGAGGGAGGGAGTCTTTGTCTTTGGAGCTCAAAGTACACCTAGCCTGGCACAAGCGCCGCCGCCGTGATGTCACCTGCACTTAGTTTTGTTGAGGCTCCCCAATAAAGGGGGCGTCCCGAACGAGCAAGTAGCTGGCAGAAGTCCCCTGTAAGAAGTCGGGATCGCGTTCGTGCGAAGCTTGGCGGTGATGGGATTGGAACGTTCAGGATTTGATGTACACGATGTTTAAGTCTTGTGTCGACACACACACAGCCTTATCAGTGTTGGGTCTGTGTGTGTGTAGGTAGGTATCGCCGCGGTTGTGTCTATGTGTGTATAAATGTCTCTTAATGTTTCCGTGTCTCTTTGTTACGTCTTTGCATGCCTCTTGTTGGTTTATGCCGCGGGGCCTGTATCTCGTCTGTCTCTGTGGTTCTATCACTAATCTTCTGTACTTGCCCCAGCAGTCGGTTAAGACTTTACGGGGAAGCTTTTATGAGCTTGCACGTCTGTCCTCGTGCTGTTTCTCGATTGTGGCCCTGTTAATACTGGTGCCACGGTGGCTAGGAGATGTTAACCACCTCACCTGGTATGCAGGAGGTTGTGGGTTCAATCCCGACCCTGACGCCTGCTGCTGCTGTATATTTGGAGTTTGTGTCTCTCATCATCATCACGGTGGCTAGGAGATGTTAACCACCTCGCCTGGTATACAGGAGGTTGTGGGTTCAATCCCGACCCTGACGCCTGCTGCTGCTGTATATTTGGAGTTTGTGTCTCTCATCATCACAGTGGGTAGATGTTAACTACCTCGCCTGGTACACAGTAGGTCATGGGTACTATCCCGACCCTGACAACGCCTGCTGCTGTATATTTGGAGTTTGTGTCTCTCATCATCATCACAATGGCTAGGAGATGTTAACTACCTCGCCTGGTATGCAGGAGGTTGTGGGTTCAATCCCGACCCTGACGCCTGCTGCTGCTGCTGCTGTATATTTGGAGTTTGTGTCTCTCATCATCACGGTGGCTAGGAGATGTTAACCACCTCGTCTGCTATACAGGAGGTTGTGGGTTCGATCCCGACCCTGATGCCTGCTGCTGCTGTATATTAAGAGTTTGTGTGTTCTCCCCGTGGTCGCCTGGATTTGTTTTCTCCTGCACATTGAGAAGCACGCGTTGAGAGTATTTGGCTGCTAGAAATTTCCTATCTGGTAAAATGAAAACGAGTGGTTTTTTTTTCACTACATCTGCCTTTATCTGTGAAGGCAGACTTTACGTGGCTCGTTGTCTCTTTCACTCACGGATGTAATATCGTGTCCGTGTGTTAAAGACAGCTTGGGTTGGTGGTGATGTTGATGATAATGAAACTCCTCTCAAGGGCGTCCTGTGACCTTCCGCTAAAGAGCTAGCGACCACCCTCATCAATCACTCGGCCACGTGCACCAGTGTGGATGGCAACATTATTTAATACGGTGTCACTCGCTGACAGCAACATACTTAACATAATAAGGCTTACACGTGGGCAGCAATCTTAAAATATACTATGGCAACGAATATCATGTCGCGTTTTTGCCGAATGCTCAGATTTAACTATTAGATTTTTGTTATTTTTCACAATTTTGCGATCGGTTTGCCCACAAGCGCAAAGTTGTGCATTCGGGAATTCTCGCGAGGGTTGTTACGGAACGGCTCGTGGAAGGAGATATCGCAGAATGACTTCCGAGACATCGTCAAGTGACATCATCCACACGAGGGGAACTGCACTCCCACATTTCGTAACTTCAGAGATGTTCAAACAATCGATGTGTTCAGTTCTCAACTGGAATTTAGCCAAATGAGTTTGAAAAAAAAAACGAATGTAACATTTCGTTTTTTTTATGTGATTGCGCTCAGACCATCAACTTGCTACAATTGAGAATCAGGTTTAACCCCATCTCAAAAGACAAAGATCTCCCGTATAGCCTCAATAGACTGTAGGAGCAAGTGCTATTAGCGAGCACCTATGAAGGCCGGCACAGCGCAGCACACTAGGGGGTGGGTGGCCAGCACCACCCCTGTCCACCTTTGTTTCTTCAGTAGCAAAGTTTACACACCACACCAGGTACTCATTTAAGTCTGAGTCGACCTAGAGGAGGCACAGGACCGGTGTTGGCCTTGAGCAGGAATCAAACCCGGGTGGCTGGGTTCGTGGTGCAGTGTGCTAACTGCTACACTACTGCTGCCCATTCGGGCAGCGAAAAAACGTTTTTTTTTAGCCAAGGATGTCGGTGGTCCTCATCTGCCTCTCACCTCTGGACCACCTGGACATCTCCGAAGCTTTACTCATTGGCAATAATTTTCTTTTCCAAACTCCATTTTCAGATCATTTTTTTTTAATGCTCAGACTATATTGAATTCATAGACTTTCACGTAAAGGCAAAATCAATTAAAAAACATCTTATAATTAAGTACATTGGGGTTGTGCTGTAAATTTGAAGTGTGATGTAAGTTTATTTTAGTTTAAAATAATGAGAGGGGAAATTGCTTCGAGGTAAGATCATTTAAACACAATAGGATCATGTAGGAACCTGTGATCCAACATTGTTGAGTCCTGGGTTCTCATCCGGGCAGCTGATTCAACCGGGTTCTTAAGTGTGTGTTCCCGAAGTGAGTTGATGGTCTCAGGCTTGTCACTAAAGACTTAAGTACAAAAAAACCCGATAAAGTTTCGTTTTTACCATTTGGCAAAATTTTAGCTCTCACAAAAATTATATATTGGTTTGGCTATCACATCACAAACATTACTCAGTCGCAAGCCAATAGGGAAAGTGTTTCTGCCGACTCTAGAGACCAGAAGGCACTTGACGGTATCTGGGAGGGGCCACTGATATCAAAGTTTGAATATATTTATGCTGGAGGAACACAATGAGCTATAAAGCTATTTTTTTACAGATGTCCAGTAGTTTCACAAATGTCCATGGTATCTGGGAGGTGACACTGGAATCGGGGAAGGGCACACTGTGGTATCTGGGAGGTGACACTGATATCCGCTTTAGCGGGCCGATCTCGAACACGCCGGCTTGCTCTGGAGCACGAGATTTTTCCAAACAGATTCTTGACATCATATGCGTTCATGCCTCGAGCACAAGCGGAATTAAATTCGGGGTAAAAAACAAAAATCTTCCACTTTTCACCATTTTTAATTTCGGCATCATCGCTTTGCTTCGGCAAGCACGGCCACGCTGGTGACGGCGGCGTCGCTGGTGACGGCTGGCGGTGACCTCGCGCTTCCAGGCCTCGTCCTGGCGCTGGCCGTTCATTGCTTCCGCACAGGCACACGCTGGCAGTTTGGACTTGGCAATCGTTTAAAGTGCCCCGGGTGGGGGGGTGATGTATGTTGCGTAATAAAAAAAACCGCAGGGAAAAAAATGCCACTTGCAACAGATACTAGCTGCACGCTAACAAGATTATGCGAGCGGTATTCGGCTCCGAACGGAATTGCGTTGCGGTGCTCTTGTGGTTTGAATGCGGTGAACCTTTCGCTGATTTAAAAACCAATTCAGTTTCCGTGTGGCGGCTTAAGAATCAAGATTACAGTCGGCGAGAGCGTGTGTGTTTTTGTGCGACGAGGCTTCGCTGAATATGGAGTATTCATTGAATTATTTGCGAGCATGCTCTTCGGATGTGCCTTAAATTGTGATGCTGCGTCGAGGAGGTAAGGTTCTCCGTGTACATTGAATAATTTGACGTATGTTTTTAATTCGATGTGGCTATGGCACACGGTGAAAAAAACTTCGTAAAACAAAAAAAATCCAACTTTGTTCCCTTGGGCTTTCGATTTTTGAGTTTTTGGTCGGTTTTTGGCCTTTGCTGCGAAGCGTATTTCCTGGCTGTGCTGCTGCACCGGCACTCCCGAGTTTGTTCCACTTGTCTTTCGTTCGGCACGATTTCCGATGTTTCGCTCCACGCAGAGCTTCGGATATCAGGGGTGGGAGAGTGCGAGGAGCGGATTAAAGTTAGATGAGAGCGGAGAGAGGTAGGCAGGGGTATCATGAGCGTAAGAATGGATTTTAAATGACAAATTAGTTAATCGTTCCTCCGAGCACCCAGGCAAACGGAGTCAACGCTGAGACGCGTAGTGCTGCTCTCAAACTGAATTAAATTGTGTGAGCTTAGTGGCAAGAATTTAAAATGTTTTTATCCCCTTCACCTCATTCCTTCCACTAAGCTCTTCTCGTGATATGTATTTGAACAGGGGGTGGCGGTAGGTGATTACCATCTCGCTCCTGCTTTTGTTTTTTTGTCTCCAACGAACAGACGACATTGACATGCGGCGGCGGCGATGCCAGCCACCGTCGTCCACAGAACACGACCGCTAAATAAGAAAATACAATTACTCCTCTGTGGCACAATCACCGGCTAGCC